ACAAGGCTTGGGCACTATTTAAAGGAAAGTTCCGAGAAGGCATAGATAAGCCAGACCCTCCTACCTGGAAGACCCGTTTGCGATGTGCTTTGAACAAGAGCAACGACTTCGAGGAACTGGTAGAGAGGAGCCAGCTGGACATCTCAGACCCCTACAAAGTGTACAGGATTGTTCCTGAGGGTGCAAAAAAAGGTGGGACCTCCTGGACTGGGGTCACAGAATATAGCCTGCCTTCCTCCTGCCTCATGTTCAAGCCCAACAGGCTCTTTGCCCAAGTTCTCAGGGTCATAAATTGAAATTCTTGTGGTATTAGGGTAGGACGATTTCTCAGATTCCAACTCTCTACCTGTGGGTGTATGCACATGCATGTGTGTGCACGTGTTTTTCAGTTAGTTCTGTTGGCGTAAGATATGGGCCAAATTTTTCAAACAAAATATGGAAAACTTGTTCAGAGATTTATCTTTACTTATCAGTGTTTCATGATTAACCATTCTGTAGAAAGGAAGCATACATATATCCATATATTGTTACTCTTTATAGTAATAAAAATGTCAACTTTTAGAGTATACTGTGGTCAGCTTGGAGGCTTTCTGAAATTCAGATCTTCTCTTTCCAAGTTTCTGACCAGTGTGTCAGAGTAGAGCCCAAGAATCTGCATTTAAAACAAACCATACAGATGACTTCACTTGTGGAACATCTTGCTGGTGGGGCCCTTTATGTGACAAAGTGCATTCACACACAGCATTTCATCTCCTTCTCTACCTGTCCTACATAAGTCAGACCTTGTAGAAATCAGCTTAATGGCCTGAACAAGTAATTGCCCATGGGAATTGCTAAAAAAGTGCCTTATTTGTCAACACCGTTATGCATTCTAGGAATTAAACTCTCAGGTATTTTTCTAAGATTTCACTTTTAGTTATGACAGTTCCTTTATTTCACACTTTACCATTTGCCTTTTGCCCAAACACATAGGAGCAAAGCAGCTCACCCTGGAGGACCCACAGATGACCATGAGCCACCCCTACACCATGACGGCTCCTTATACCTCACTCCCAGCTCAGGTATGGTGGAGGGTACAGGGCTTCTAGAAGGGGAGGCTGGGTCTGGGTGAGGCCACGTGAGCCGGCTAGTCCCACATAGCAGGAAAAATACACAAACAAAAGAGCAGTGCTTTGTTTTTGTTATTAGTCAATCAGCCAAACCAAATCCCCAGTCATTGGATGAGTGTCTCACTTTCTACCTGGTGTTATTATCAGTGTTGGTTTTAAGGAGTAGAGAGGTGGATGTGTCTGCCTGCTAGCATGGACTTCTACTACTGATTCTGAAATCTGGGAAACAGATCTTTTGTGGAAGATGAAAATTTTGGAAGTAGTGCTTTATCATGTGAAACCACAGGGCAGCTGATCTCTTCAGATTTTTCTGATGTGAATTACAGCTCTGTTTTATTCACTTTGGTGGGTAAAAGAAGGCAAATTTCCCTGCAGTACTTTTGGTGCCAGGTTTAACCATATGATGAAGCTTTACACAAATCATTACTTTATAACACTGTCTTCATTGTGCTTTTTGATTCTTTATGGCTACTTTCCACCTAGTGTGAGGAGCTATTCACTCCAAAGTCTTTTGAGATGATAAAATGATTTGGCTGTCAGCCAAATGAAAGATGCTGTGAGGAGTCTGACTATAAAAGAATCTGCACCCCACCCCTTTCCCCATGCCAACCAATTGATCTTTGCCAAGCTGGTTGTCTTTCATCTCAGCTGCTCCTTCATATTCCTTTAGCAGGTTCATAACTACATGATGCCACCCCACGACCGAACCTGGAGGGACTACGTCCCTGATCAGCCCCACCCAGAAATCCCGTATCAATGTCCTGTAACATTTGGATCCCGCAGCCACCACTGGCAAGGCCCGTCTTGTGAAAATGGTAAGGAGTATGCTGGGGCTGGTTTTTATGGCTGTGGCTCACCCAGCAGAACCTGGCCAAAGGGTCCTGGTCTCTCCTGATCTGTCCTTCTGGGCAGTACCCCAGTTCTTTCCCCTTCTCAGAGCTGCTAGGAAAGACCTCACATGCAGTGAAGGAGAGAGCGAAGGTTGTCAGGGGGAGGACTCCAGGGTTTACTGACTCCTGGCCTACTTGTGCCAGGACCTATGCTGGGAACTGCCTTACGTGAGATCTTTTTTTTTTAAATTTTATTTTATTATATTAGTCACCATACATTACATCATTAGTTTTTGACGTAGTGTTCCATGATTCATCGTTTGTGTATAACACCCAGTGCTCCATGCAATACATGCCCTCCTTAATACCCATCACCGGGCTAACCCATCCCCCCACCCCCGTCCCCTCTAAAACCCTCAGTTTGTTTCTCAGAGTCCATAGTCACATGAGATCTTATTTAAACATCACAGAAAAGGGTGCCTGGGTCGCTCAGTTGGTTAAGTGTCTGCCTTCGGCTCAGGTCATGGTCCCCGGGATCCCCCAGAGATTCCCCAGGGTCTGGGATTGAGAATCAGGCTCCCTGCTCAGTGGGGAGTCTGCTTCTCCTTCTCCCTCTGCACCCCCCCACTCATGCTCTCTCTCTCTTGCTCTCTCTCTCAAGTAAATGAATAAAAAAATAAAAAATAAACTTCACAGAAAAAAATAAAGGGGAACACTAATCTCAAAATAAGTAAATAAATAAAAATAACAAAATAAACATCACAGAGATCCATCCCAAGCAACTAAAAACTGCCCCCCCTTTTTTGAGGCTAACTCACGGAATGTAAGGAATGCTCAAAGTTACCCAGTGGAAGTGAGGGGCTGGAGTTCAACCTCAGATCTCCTCTTTCATTTAAGACAGAGGATCTCAGATGTCAAACTGTTTGGCCATATTTTTTTAATTATCTGTTTGATAGGTTAATATTTTTCATCCTCCCTGAATAATCTTTGGCAAAAAGTAATAGATTTTGTCAGTCTTCCCTCCTGGATTGTCCCTTAATGTTGATTGGGCCAGTAATCTCACCGGTCTGTTTCTTTCTACATATCTGTAAAACGGGCATACCATAGCTGTGTCCAAACCTTCTCCCTATAGGAACATCAGGAGATTATTGACCTAGTATATTTCTCTTAAACAAGTGTGCCCAAGGGGCACCTGGCTGGCTTAGTTGGTAGAGCATGCCACTCTTGATCTTGGGGTTGTGAGTTTGAGCCCCACATCAGGGGTAGAGTTTACTTAAAAACAACAACAACAATAGTGTAGTTATTTTGGGGCTTAGAAATGATAGTAAGAATGGAATGAATAAATACTAAGAAAGCAGTCTCCATAAGGTGACTAGTGCCGGTGTTGGGGTCCAAAGAACTTTGTTCATTCTGGATTAGATGTGGTCCCATTCTCACAGGAGTTTCCCAGACATCAAAATGAGATCACTCAGTGGAAGCACTAGTTAGCTAAGTGCAAAGAAAACTTCATACAGTGTATCAAACACAGCAAAACACAAGCTTCTAGGACTTTTGAGTTAGATATTTAAATAGAAATCCTGAGATGGGTCAAGACTCAGGTCCTTCTGTATGTTCTAGGAATATTTCGTTCGTCACAATTTGGTCAGTTCCCCTTTTTCTAATCATGTTCAGGTCACTTTTAGCTTTTATGAAATTGACGAAGTATACCATCATTTAAAATTGTTTTTAGTGTCATGTTTACAAAAAAGCTCAGAGTTTGGTTTTATTAGCTTTTCAAGAGTGATTTGCAACAAAGGTTACTTTCCGTTCCATAGTGGAGGAGTTAGTTAACATTAAACTGGTTTCTGAAATTCAGACTTGTGTCTAATACATCGGGCTCTATTGAACTAAGAACCTTAGTAACAAGGCAATGTCTCAAACTATACAAAAATATGGAATAGGTGGACGTATTTTGAAGCATAGTTGACATTAAAAGAAGTGCCACCAAAATTATGTTCTATGAGATATTCTTTCTCTATTACTGTTTGATGCGACCCACAGCTATTATGCTGCCAAAACACATGGTTCAATTTTCTTCCTGAAGCCAGAAATAGAAAGCTAAATAAATGTAGACTAAACAATTTGTAAGTTTTTAATTGGGCTCTTTGGCATCAGAACTCAGGTAAACCTGAGCTCACAGCTCTCCTGCCAACTTGCTGCGTGAACAAGGATAAATCTCTCTGAGCCTAAGTTATCCTGTTTATCAGGGTAATTATGGAGGGATGTTGCTCAAAGTGTACCAACTTCCAATTATAAGACGAATAAGTTCTGGGGATCTAAAGTACATGGTGACTGTATTTAGCAATACTCTATTGTATTAAAAGTGGCTAAGAGAGCAGATCTTAAATATTCCCACTATACAACACATGCACACACACACACACACACACACAGATGCACACACACACAGTGGTAATTATGTGAGGTGATTAAGGTGTCAACTAACTTAAAAAAAAAAAGAAAGAAAAAATTATAGAGGGATTATTTCAAGTTTCCTTCCAAAGCTATGAAAAGGCTCCTTCCTCTTTCAATCTTGTTTTTTCTGATTGGACTTCAACTTGTCTGTGTCCCTTGAGAATGCCACCGGTCAGTTCTAGAGGGCCCTTGGCCCCTCCCTTCCAGGGTTGGTGCACCCCTCAGGGGCTGAGTGGCCACATCCCAGGGAGAGGAGACCTTCCTGTGTGTCGTCGGACAGACTCTGTTTAGACATCATCTGATTCTTATTTACAAATGCAGGTTGCCAGGTGACAGGAACCTTTTATGCTTGTGCCCCGCCTGAGTCCCAGGCCCCTGGAATCCCCATAGAGCCAAGCATAAGGTCTGCTGAAGCCTTGGCGCTCTCAGGTGAGTGCAGTGTTCCCTTCTAGAGGCCCCCACAGGAGGCTGGCTTCTGCTGTGGCTCCACCCTCACCTTTGGGTATACTTGATTGGGTGGGGGTAGGGAATCCCTGAGCACAGCCCATGGGCACTGGCTTTCTTCCATCTGGGGACTAGAGTGGGTATGGACACATCTGACTCCCAACCTCTTTGAATGAGGACATCATTAGAATATTTAGCTCTAAGAAGCCAGCTTTTGATTCTGATGCCAATTCTAAATGCTGGTTTGAATTGAGTCATTTTAGGGTTTCCACTGACATCTATCTGAATTTCCAGGAATATGCAAACACCTCAGCTTTATATACCAAGGGCCCCCCTTCAGCCAAATTTTTCACAATGTAGTATAATTTCTTAGAAAAATACACAACGGTTTCTCATTTTGAAAAGCTGATCATCCTTCCAGGTTTAGCTACAAATAGGTCTTCCTCTCTGTCATCCTGAGGACATGAGTTCTGGCTCCTTTCCATTCATATGCCTAAAAGTAGTGAGACTTGCGGTCAGTCTTCGTCTAAAATTTGATAGGTTTTGCAAAAAATTTGGGTTACAGCTGATTTTTAAAGTTTCATTTCTAAAAGAATCCCTGCAAGCTCAAAGATCGTACCTGTTTTAAGGAAGACACCTCAAGGTTTGCTAAGCATATGTAGTGTATATATATTTATTTTTTAGATCGTATTCTGGGTTGTTTTAAAATGGGACTTATAATTACATTAAAAATGAATAGCTTAAGCCTCAGAATTCTCACCTTGCCCCTTGGGCTTTTTAAAAATCAATGATAGAAAGTATAAAGTAAATTCTCAAGGTTTCAAAGAGTTGTGGTCACCTTTCTTGCTTCCAGGTTCACCATTTATTTCTTTTCAGTTCTGAAGTTCTGAATGAGGCTTGCTGCCTCTCTTCTTAGATGCTCCTAAATGATGGAGGGGAGATGTTTCTGAGCAGAAAGCCTTGTGCTTGTTTTTAGAAACTTTCTAACCCTTCTCTTAAGCACCTAAGACCTGTGTAGGTGCCTGGAAAGTAGCAAATAAACAGCTATTTATGTCACTGTGACCTCGTGATTTCTGATGACGTTAAATGAAATGAAACTTGCCCTGCAAGTCACCTCAAATGGCCAACACTCACTGTCATCAAGGTACACTGTCTGAGCTCGCTCTCTGCTAGTGTGTTTACAGCAGCAGAAATTGAAGTGGAGAATTGAGACAGTGATGTGGGTTGTTTAAGTCTCAAAACCTGCCGCTGAGGAATAAGAGGGTTTTGTGGGTTTCTTTTTTTGGTATGCATAGTACAGATTAATTATCAACCTTGAGCACATTTGTTGGAGAACTGCGATTCCCATTCATTTTTAAATCCCATGCAGTTATGGATGGGTAGCTATTGCCTATGCATGAAGCCCTTTTGCATTTCAGTTAAGGGGTCCTTTGCAAACCTAGCTTTGTCCTTTCAGTTTGTGGGTCCTATTCTGAAGAAAAATTCCATAAGTGAACTCATCTCGTTAAATGTTTTAGAAAGCACAGTTATTTTCAAGGCAGATTTTGAAAGCCTAGTGGGACTTTAGCATTAGAACATTTTTTTTCATTGATTCTTTTCTTTCCAAGTGAATTAATTTTATTATACAAGTAGTATATACACACATAGCATAAAAACTAATGTGACAATCAGAAAAGCAAAAAAGGAAAATAAAACATCACATTCCTACCACCCAGAGATCACCACTGTTAAAGTCTTAGTGTTTATCTTTGCTGAAACTTCAATGTGCACTTGTATGTATATATATATATTTTTCTATGTAAGTGACATCATATTGATATTTTAGGGTGGTTTCCGATGTAAACATTTTTGTTTATTTTTTGAAACACCATTATATTCTTTTTGCTAGTAGAAATTAGACTTAGGGTTTGCTTCCTCCAAAATCAAAACTGATTGCATGCTTAAAGATGAATTTTGTTCAGTGGTACATGACTTAGTATTTTAGACATAATTGTTGTCATCATCGTTATAATCATCACCAAACAATGACACAGAATGTTCTTAACCAGTGGTGCTCTCTAATACAAGTCAAATATACTGTGCAGAAAACTAGTGTAAAGTGTGATTCCCCCTCCACAAAAAAAAATCTATGGTCACACAAATTTGGAAAATGCTGAGTTAGACAACATTAAATAGATTTCTTGCAGGATTTCCTTAATATCTCTTACTGTCTATGACTCCATGAGGGAGATGAGGGTATGCAGCATTTCCTACACTTTCTTGACCCTGGAACTTTCTACTTTTTATGGAGTATTCTGGGACACCAGTGTCCCACCAAATACACATGTTCTGGTTGAATAGTTTGGCATCCTGATGTGTATCCAGTGCTCCTTGGTCCCTTAGCACTGACCATGAAATCTCTGTGTTTACAGACTGCCGGCTCCACATCTGCTTGTACTACCGGGAGATCCTGGTGAAAGAGCTGACCACGTCTAGCCCAGAAGGCTGTCGGATCTCCCACGGGCACACCTACGATGCCAGTAACCTGGACCAGGTCCTTTTCCCCTACCCAGAGGACAATGGCCAGAGGAAAAACATCGAGAAACTTCTGAGCCACCTGGAAAGGGGTGTGGTCCTCTGGATGGCCCCCGACGGGCTTTATGCCAAAAGACTGTGCCAGAGCAGGATCTACTGGGATGGGCCCCTGGCACTGTGCAGTGACCGGCCCAATAAACTGGAGAGGGACCAGACCTGCAAGCTCTTTGACACACAGCAGTTTTTAGCAGGTAATGTACCAAATTATCTGTTAGAATGGAGCATCCCACACCTGTGAGCCTAAGAGACAGAATGGAGGGGGTGACACTGTATCTGCTACAGTGGTCCAAACAGGTCACTCCCATCCCAGACAGAGGTCTTCCTTCTATTAATCCCTGAGCCTGCGTGATCTGAGAATAGGTTTCCTGTTTGTTCATCTCTCACCTCTGCCTCTACCACCTGCTCCTTTCCAAAAGCAAAGGGGTGTGAAGAGGAGGAAGATTGCTCAAGGGGATTGTGGTTCAGGCTGATATCTTGAAATTCTGGTATTCAACAAATAGTCACAGACTGATAAGGTTTACACTTTATTGGCAGTATGATCTCAGCAAGCATGTCTGCTGATGTTTCAGCTTTTTTAGGGTTCCTAGGAAAATCATAAGGTTAGAAGTGTATTGTTAACATTCTTGGTTATGAGATGTGTTACCCCTAAGCAGATGCTCTCCAGCAGGTGAGACCAAGGATAGAGTATGTGGAACTGATTTTGCAAAGGGGAAATTATGAGAAGGCTTTGAATTATCTCTATGATATGCATGTTTCAAATAATATTTTCTAAAACCAATAAGTTTTGTTTTTCTAGTTTTGATTTCATGACAATTAAATTAGCCCCAGACTGGCTTTTGTGAAACCACTGGCCACATTATTGTTGAAGCTTCATCCAGAGTATTCATTTGACTATCTATATTGATGATACCTCTTTTGGAGGGAGAAAGCTGTTCTGTCAGCTGCCAACTCTTTCTGTACCTTATTCTGTACCTTATCCTTAAGCTATTCTTTTATAACTGCCCCTTCAGAAACACTCTATGTCTTTGGGTTTTCATATGCCTCTCCTTTCCCTGCATATGCTTCCTGATTCAATTTATTTAAATTAAAAATATGAAACATCTATGTGCTTTGACACCGTTGACATTTGCTTAGCCTTTTGGGTTTAAGTTGCCCAAATTCGTGTAGGCTCATCCAAATTCTCTTTTGGTGCCCCTAAACAAATATGTCCTTATATGACTAACCCTCGACTAAGAGGTGTGACAAGAGGAAAAGGGAGAACTGAGCCTCTGGTTCTCCAAGGCAGCACCAGGGTGAGAAAGGCATGTGGGCCTGAACATCCCTCCCTCCCTCTGAGCTACAGAACTGCCTCCAAATCTGCGCCATGACTGTTTTGTCCATTCTGGGGTCCAGGGTGGTAATCATGGTGGGCACCCAAGGAAGAGTCAGGAGCTACTGAGGGGCATCTTGTGTGCACCTCTTATGTCTGCAAAAGCGTCTGAAAGGGTCCATGGGGGTTTGGATCACCTCAGAGACTATGAATCTTGGTCTCTTTGGATTCAGAAGCCACAGGGCTAGGGCTTTAGTTAAGGTATCCCAGGGGAATGACACTTGCTTCTGTGAGTTTCTCTCACTATGTGTGTTTTAGGAGTTTGAATCCTACCATTCTAAGTAGGCTGTAAGTTACACTTTGAGTCACAGTCACTGAGAGCTGGATACAGGCAAGAAGCAGAAAGGCATGATGTACCAGCTATGAATATCTGCAGGTTGTGAATTCACTTGCCTAGAATTTAATATTTATCTGTGAGCAAGAGTTGTTTTTTTTTCTTCCTCTGTAACCAAGGACTGTGCTTTTTGCTCACTGCAACCTCTTATCTTGAAGTATTCGCTGAGGTTCAAGGAGGAACCTGTGAACTTAAAAACTGCAGCTGTGTAAACCAGCTTCTGCATAATCAAGGATTCCCACAGAATGTTCTCATGTTATCAAGCATTTGAGACATGACTTTTTCGGAGAATTGTGCCAACTCGCCACTCTGATTAGCTTGTGTAGGTGTAGTCTCAGACCTCAGTAGTGTGAACGCCTTTTACACATTCTGACTAAGTCAGTTAGGTTTGATTTGAATTCTGGAAGAAAAAAAAAAAGCAGGAAGTCAAACAGTCCAGTGAGTTAGTTAGAAACTTTTCTTCAGTTGAAGAGAACAGTGAAGATCTTTGATATCTCCCCATTCAGGATTTGCAAACTACTAGGGACAGCCCCTAAAGGCAAAGCCCAAGGGTGCATATCTGATCAAGATGCATGTGCATACTGTTCTGCAGAAGTTGTAGCAGCAACCATGTGTGTTTCTTTTGCAGAAATGACATTTAACTCTAGTGGAAAGGAAAGAAAAGGAGCAGCTAGAGCTTAAGAGTCATCTTGAATATGGGCAAAGGGACATGGATCAATGTCAGGGATTACACATGTGTCTTCCCAACAGTCTTTGTTCTGCATCTTTAGGGTAGGAGTGGTGCCTTCAGGATAAACATATCCACAAATGTGGGGACCCCTAGTGTTTCATCACTACCTTTTTCATTTCAAATCAATATCAGTCCCACAAGATGGACAAGAAGTCAGCTCAAAGTCCCACAGTTTAGGCTTAGTGCCAAGTAGGAGACAGCTGGTGCTCAGTCTCCAAGATAACAGTAAAGCATTTTCAGTGATGCCTGAATCATGGAAAGGTCCTGAGTGGCACAGATATTGGATTATGAGGGCTCAGCAGTTTTGAGATAACATTTTGAAGTAATCAGAAAATTTTGATTTTTTAAATGAAATTTCTCCTTTGTATAAATTATTCTTTTGCCTCAACATGGCTGCATTTCTTTTCCTTTTTCTTCATCCTTCACTCCCCTCTGCTACCCTTTGCGCTCTCATGGGTCCAATGCTGCAGATCAAGGTTTCTTAATCTGCAAAGCATATTTCCCTTAAAGAATCAAGTGAGGGGCGCTTGGGTGGCTCAGTTGGTTAAGCATCTGCCTTCACCTTGGGTCCTGGGATCGAGCCCTGTGTTGGGCTCCCTGCTCAGTGGGGAACCTGCTTCTCCCTCTCCCTGCTCAAGCTTTCTCTCTCATTCTCTCTCTCTCTCAAATAAATAAATAAAATTTTAAAAAAAGAATCAAGTGAAACCTGGAGCCCTCTCAGGAAAAGCACACCTATGAACACGTACATGCAATTCTATATCTGGGGTCTAAAAGTTAAGAACCCCACTTAGAGAAATAAAGAATACTCACTCCTATTTTAGTTTTCCAAATCAACAATGAGCTTTTGCTTCCTGCTTTAACCTGGCACGTGCAATGATGGTTTCTGATCAGGATTTTGTTTTGTTTTGTTTTTCTCATGGGGCTTCTCCAGAGCTGCAAGCTTTTGCTCACCATGGCCGTCCCCTGCCAAGATTCCAGGTAACTCTGTGCTTCGGGGAAGAATTTCCAGATCCTCAGAGGCAAAGGAAGCTCATCACTGCTCACGTGAGTATTTAGTCACATTCAAATGATTGAGTTTCCCTGTTTTTCATCAAGGGCGGGGTCTCAATTAGAAAAGTCTCAAATGAAAAGTATATGTCAAGTGACAGGAAAATCATGAAGGAGGAAGCATGGCCCAGTGAATGGTGCAGGAAGCACAGCCCAGGGACCCACATGTTTTTTCCAGCTCTAGAGGTCTACTCATCACAAACCTGCAACCATGGGCTTCATTCGTCCCATCTTGTGTATAGATCAAGACGTTGTCCTATTCCCATTTTATAAGGATTTAAAAGGACTAGTGATAAAAGTTGCCCTTTAAAATTTTTTATATTTAATATTGCTTTTAAAATGCTGTCTAGCTGACCTTCACTTGATGGAGAAGCTTTTCCCAAATGGGAAGCTGTCCATTGACCTATGTATTTTGCAGTCCCCCCAATTTTTTCCCAAGTCCTCTTTTATTTCTAGATTTGTAGAAATTATTTAACTAATGGAAACCAAGGGTCATGTGTTATTTGGAGGAATTTATGTCAAGGAAATTAAGTAGATCAGTGTTCTCTAGCAGAGTTTAAAATAGGGTCAACTGTAGCACGTAAACATCTTTTTTATAAAAAGTTTATAGAGATGACATTTGGAATAAATTTGCCACAGAAAACAGAGTTTTGAATACCCAAGATTTTGAATTTGAAAACTTTACATTGCTACATACCTTTCAGAGTTATTATTGGGCCTAGACAAAAGCAGTAACAGGTACGAAAAAAATCAGTCTGACCCCAGAAAGTGTTCCATTCTGGGAGATGTTAGGAATCAATCCACTGGCTGTGTGGAGACCTACCCTGGGGCCCGAGCTGAGGGTGAGCTCTAGGGTGAAGCTCAGGGTTAGGGTTTGGTTTGTATAGAAACATTCAGGTCATATTTTAGTTCTCATAATGTTTTTTATTGATAACTGAAATAAAACACTATCTAATTTTAAACACACAGTACTCCTCCTTGATTGTAAAATCAGAAACCAACCAACCAAAAGACTTTAGAGCTTTTTCTTGAATTCTGTCCAGTAATTGATATAATAATTGATATCCTCTTAACACCTAGGATTGTTAAATGACTAAATAAACTTGGTATTGATAAATAATATTTCGAAAGTTGGTGAAAAACTCCTGCATCAGTCTGACTTTAAGGGTTTTTTGGGTGCACTAGCCCTCCTCTGAGTTAGGCAACTATGTGTTCCTCAAGCAAGGGTCCCTGGAATTGAGTTGTCTGGGATGGAAAAGAAAAATTGATATGTGTACACCCAAGAGTCCCTACTCCTTTTTATTATGGATTTAATTTATTTCAGGTATTTTATATTAATTATGCTTAAGTTTCTATATATCAAGTAACATAAAGGCTCAATTTAGTAGCAGAATTGATTAACAAAGTATTCAATTTTCTTAGATGCTGTAAAATAAGGAAAGTCTGAAAGCTGAATTTATTTTAGTGAATATGACCCACATAAATAGCCAAACTAGATGAACTTGAGGTCAATTAACCTCTCTTTCCCCATAATAACAGTGTTGTTGTTTGTATAGATTTTGCTCCTTCTTTTTTCCTTTATCTTAGAAATATACAGATTATCAAGGTCATCCAGGAATTGTAAATTGTTCAGGATTTACACCCTCATCCCTGTCATACTGTGGTTGTGGAAAAATTTATTGGCCTAAATTATTCTGAGTTACCTCAAAGTTCATTAATCACCTCAAATTTCCTTTTAATTTGGTCATTTTACCTGATTTGCTTATGCTTAGTTAAACATAAATTTTAAGCAGCTATTAATTTAAAAATACCACCTTTGACTTTAACTATAGTAAAAACTCAGAATTAAGTAGAGTCGGTTTTCAGGTTGGTATACGTAAGGGCTAACAAAAAATTGCGTCTTCAGAATGTTTTGATTTGGATAGCACCTAACCTTGGATTTAACTTTACCATATCTTCAGATATTGAGTTATTTAGTGATAAGCCAATTACAGGATGTTAAAAAGAATATTTCAAAAATATCTTTTTAAAATCTCTTATTAAAGGTCGAACCTCTCCTAGCCAGACAACTATATTATTTTGCTCAGCAAAACAGTGGACATTTCCTGAGGAGCTATGATTTACCTGAACACATTAGCAGTCCAGAGGATTATCACAGATCTATTCGCCACTCCTCCATTCAAGAATGAAAAATGTCAAGACAAGTGATTTTGTTTCATTGTAAATATCTGACTTTGACAGGAACAGCTGACTGAACTCCCTCTTTTTCTTTTGAGAAACTTGGAAATTGGGGCCTCAATTCAACACTTGAGGAGAATCTCAGCAGGAATGAGTGTAAAAAAACCAGCTCCATCTAATTGACAGATGAGCTTATTCCAAAAGGAAGGACAGTTTTCAGGGTCTTCTGTAGACTGCTATCTTTGATGATTACTGTGAAAATTGACCAAAGGGTGTGTTTACATTTACTCAAATGCTATCTTTAATTTGATGTGGATTATTTCTTGCTTGAAAACTGAGAAAACTTGTGTTTCAGTATTGACCACTAACTAGAGGGATAAAAGCACATAAGTGTTGTACTATTTCTCAGGGAAATAATATCTAAATTTGAGGTGACTCTGCCCACAAAAGAAATGTATTAATGCACATAGAAGATGTTGCTCTTGTAGAAAGTGCTTGCTGTTAGAAAGAGAATCTTTGACTGAGGTTGGACCACAGTGCCTCCAGCTTTGGGGTGGCTGATCACTCCACCTGGCCTGGGTCTCACCCCGGCACGGACTTCCCTGCCCTATCTCACACTGCCTCCCATTTGCTCTCTCTCCTTGGGTGCCCCTAGAAGCCAGTTGGTGTTTTCTGGAACCAAGAAGCATTAGGACTACCCTTGATTAGCATATTTTTGTAAGTCCTACAATCTTTTAATGACTACTTAAGATATTTTTTGTTTGTCTTTTTGTCTCTCATTCTGTAGAAATTGTTGCTAAAACTTTTTTCTTAAAAAAGAAAAAAAGATCAACAATCCAAGTACTAAAGATATATTTTTGAAACTTGGTGACATTTCCCCTCTTGCCCTGTTTGTTTTGTTTGGCTATCAGTTAGTTATCCATGACAACACTAAAGAGGAGGAGCTGATGCTTTTCAATTTGGTGAACTCTGTTAGGAAAGATGATGACAGGATTTCACTGATTGCATAACTGCAGATTCAGGGGCTGTTTTTGCTTATTTTGTATATTATATGCTTCCTCCTGCCAATATGGTTTGACAGGGCCTTAAAATTACTGGGCTTTTTCCAAATACATCTTTTTATAGAATCACTAAGATCTCCAGTTGCTTAAGTAAACCTGATCACTTCCTTGTTGATTGTTTTGGAAAAGTACAGATGTTTAGACTGATGCTGGCAACTGATATTTTTATCATACTACAGAAAAATAGCTATTACTTTCAGGTTTGGCAAAAGGCTTAGTAGTTCTCAAATATATGCCACTCTTTTTTTTTTTTTTAATTTTATTATGTTAGTCACCATACAATATATCATCAGTTTTTGATGTGGTGATCCACGATCCATTGTTTTCGTATAACACCCAGTGCTCCATGCAGTACGTGCCCTCCTTAATACCCATCATCGGGCTAACCAATCCCCCCTCCCCTCTCCCCTCTAAAACCCTGTTTGTTTCTCAGAGTCCATAGTCTCTCATGGTTCATCTCTCCCTCCGATTTCCCTCCCTTCATTTTTCCCTTCCTTCTCCTAATGTCCTCCATGCTATTCTTTATGTTCCACAAATAAGTGAAACCATATGATAATTGACTTTCTCTGCTTGATCTATTTCACTTAGCATAATCTCTTATTCTAATCTATATTTTTAAATTCATTCAACAAACTGTGTCCTTTGCATTAGACAGATTATATATAGCCTTTATCCAGTTTAGTAAGCAATGAAGCATTGGAATGTTATTTTTTTAACTTCTAAAAGGAGTTTTTTTTAAAGGATTTTATTTACTTGAGAGAGAGAGAAAGAGCAAACGAGAGAGACAGCACAAGCAGGGAGGAGGGACAGAGGGAGAGGGAGAAGCAGGCTCTCCGCTGAGCAGGGAGCCCGATGTGGGACTAGATCCCAGGACCCCAGGATCATGACCTGAGCAGAAGGTAGACGCTTAACTGACTGAGCCACCCAGGTGCCCCAAGGAGTTTTTAATGATAGCATAATACACGTTAACGACAGAAAATGTAAGTAATATAGACAGGCAAAAATTAAGCAACATCCTCTTTCTTTTTCCCAGCCCAAATCCTGCTCCCTTGAAATATCCACAAGAAGAGTTTGACTTATTCTTCCAATACATTTCACTTCTCTATAGATATACGTCAGCTCAAAAAACCTCATAGGATCATCTTGCAGCCACTTTCATGCAGTGCTCTCTTAACCTAACAATACAGATTTACCTCACTCTTTTTAGAGGCATTGTTGTTGTAGAACTCCACCACCATGCAGTCCATAGCACAGTTTAAGGAATTTCATCAGCCGCTAAAAGTGAATACGCATGGACAGCAGATTATATTTTGTGAATTGTAGTAATTTATACATCTTATAGATGCAAAGTATTTTAGGGTATATTATCCTAAGGGGGATTTGAAAGCAAAATTAGAACCACTGTGACACAAGCCCCAGTGTATGTGGCCCTCTTGCCTGGAGAATATTTAACCCCATGCCAGCGCTTCAGAGAAGTTCTCTGGTGTCAGTCCCAGGGGTGCTGTGTCTTCTGAATTCTCAAAGTAGATGCCTGATTTCTATTGCTGTTGCAAACTCTTTTCTTTCGTCTTTCTTTTTTAATATTAAGTTGCTTTAACACTGGAGTTACATTTTCTGGAAAATACTCTTGGCTTGGGCCACTTCCCCCTTTCTCATCTTTAGTCCCATATACTTTGACTTTTTATTATTATTTTTTTAATTTGGAGGAATCCAGACTATGAGCTAGTGAATGAATTATGAAATAATCAGGGTAAAGAATCCTGACAGCTGTCTCAGGATTTTGAAAATGAATGATTGCCTCATTCCTTGACTTGATAAGTAGAATTTAGTTTGTTCTCAATTGAAGATACGATAGAAGAGTTTAGGCATTTATTATGCTAAAAAGCTTTAGATGGCAAGGTTAAAAAATGTGTAAGTCTCACAGGTGCATGTTCTAATGGCTTGTTTCTTGTTCTTTGGATTTAATAAAACAGTGGGCGGTTGTTGATGTCTTCTGGAACACTGTAAAGAACCAGGGTGACCAACCCATTTAAAACCCAAACCTTGGAACCCCCTCAGTCCCAGGCAAAACAGGACAGTTATTGCCCTATAGAGAACCCAGCAAGACTGTTGCCTGGAGCTAGGAAGACACTGTTCCATTGGGAGATAAAATTTAAAATCCTGCATGGAATAAGCAACATGACAATATGGTTATCACTAAAGCACAGATATGCCCAGGTTTGCATTTAGAAAAAGACACACACTGGGCTAAGGTATGAACAAGGTTGTCTTCGCATGTCACTGTGTGTAAACCCCAGAGTTGTTCCAACTCTGGGGGTCTTGGTGCAGGGTCTGGCATGGGCTTTTGCTTGAGAGGCTGAGCAACAGGTGGACATGCATCCCCAGAGAATCCTTGCTTCTGTGTTGGCTGTACCAGTAAACATCAATTTTTTTCCTAGCAAATATTTTTTTAGTTCAGACTCCGTTTCATTCCTCCTTGATCACATTTCTCCCCTTTCTTCACAGGTAAATGTTTTCCTGGAAGTGGTGAGCTTCCTTAAAGTCTATATTTTTACTATCTATCTCCCTAGTTTATAGCTGACTGGCATCTATTTAAATGTTGCATTAGGGCTGTCCTGCCATATGCATTGTTCTGCAACTTACTTTTCTCATAGCTCCATCTTTGAGATTGATCAGTCCCTCAATGTAGGTGGGTCTCATCCATCTCTTGCTAACTAGTGTCAAATAACTTGTCACATGAATGCAGTGAAGGTTGATTTTCCTGGTATTTATTTTTACTGCCTTTAGGAAAGCACGTAGGTGAAGTGTAGTTGAAGTGAAGGAAAAGAAAGATGGGATGTGGACAAGAACTGCAAGTCCAGCAGGCCAATCCTCCTCCAATATAAACTCATGTTTTGTTTAGACTCTGAGATGGAAGGAACCTAATGGGTAGTGGGATTCATTTCCCTGCACTCCATCTGTCTAAGTGGCTAGGACCAAGCGGCTCCCTTGACGTCAATCCAAAGCTATGCTGGTTCCATCTTGCTGTTAGGCCTCCCAGGCAAGGGTGTCTAGAGAACTAGGCAGATCATTCCGTGGGAAATGATTGTACATAATAATGTCATAAATTTTGGTGTAAATTGCTTTTCAAAAAATTGATATTCATGACAATCTGGTGTTTTATGTAGTTGTTAAATAAAGACTTTTTAAAAAATTAATCTGTTATGAGCTGTGTGTGTTATTAAACACTCATCTTGATAGCTTTTAAAATACTTCCTCTTTCTGTTGTGTTCTTTCAGAGAGGTTGCTTCGGCAGCCTGCTTCCTTCCTGGTTGTCATATGCGTCCGTAAAATCAGATCTCAAAGTGGTCTGCTAGTTTTAAAAAAAACAGCAAAACTTGTCCCAGCATAGGGCAGTTTCTCCAGCCCATGGAAACACATCTAAGGAGAGTACTGAACAATCCTTTCCTTCTTCTTCCTTGTGTGTTTTAAAAGGTCTAGTAGACCCAAAGAAATTGTTAATGTTTCCTTTTATATTCATAGCTTCTTTGATTTTGTCGTTGTTGTTAAAGAGGAGGAGATGTAGGTTAACCAGCATCCGGAATGTGAAATATAACATAAAACTCTGTGTAGTAAAAGAGCCTATCAACTGCTTACAAGTCTAGTGGGAACACTAGAAGGACAGGACTGCAGCTTGTGGTGTTAAAAACCTTGCAGCCAAAGACTTCGTGGAACTGTGAGACTGAGTGGAGAAAAGGGTGTTTGCAATCTGTGTCTAGGAGCCCCAGAATATTAGCTTAGAATAATTTTGAATTTTTAAAGTGGTAATCAAATAAAGCTAGTGGGAATATAAACTATCATACTGCTTTTTGGGGTTTTATCTGCTCAACAAGTGTGGATGAACTTGAGTCAGTATATATAAGCAAATTTTTTCAAATCGACTCCTTATGTCTAAAAAAGAATTTCAAAGAGATTTTTTAAAAAAGATTTTATTTATTTATTTGACAGAGAGAGAGCACAAGTAGGCAAAGTGACAGGCAGATGGAGAGGGAGAAACAGGCTCTCCGCTGAGCAGGAAGCCAGATGTGGGGCTCGATCCCAAGACCCCAGGATCATGACCTGAGCGGAAAGCAGCCGCTTAACGGACTGAGCCACCCAGGTGCCCCAAGAATTTCAAAGAGATTTTGAGCCCTTGAACTTGTTTAAGTAATTTCACACCTCCCTCAGGTACCGATGTTTTCAAGCCTTTCTTTATATACAGTGCAAGTTTGACTGTCTTGGGTTTAGTTTCCTTAAAGCAAGTATTACTTTGACAAATAAATAGTTTTACATAAAGTGCACTCCAGTGTTTATTGATGGCAGAAAAACATCATCAACTTCTACATCATCTTCTGGAAAGACACTCCAGGGGTCATAATATCTCATTTTTTTCTAGGACAGTCTATACCTAAATTAACTCAGGCAGATAGATATTTTCAGAATTAGTGAAGAGTTATGAATTATAGGGTGTTATAGGTACACTTTAGTGACCTCCAGGTTACCTTCCGTGACCCCTGCTCCTGCTAGTTTGACAATATACTGTGACAGATGGCTGTCTTTAGATATTTCCTCTGTCATCTTTGTTTAGCCCATCTGTCTATCATAATCAATTGTAAAGTTCATTTTATCCCTGTCCTTGAGTGACTGTTCAAAAGTTTGGAATCTGTATAATTCAAATTATGAACATTTTATTATCTT